TTTTTACATATTAATGCAATTTATTTAGGCAATATCATTTAGTATTACAATACAAACTTTAAATGTATTTAGAAGAAATTATTTAATATTCTTGAATTTAAAAATAATTAGTATTCAGGCAATAACAATTTTGTTGACTTTATATGATCACTTTATATTTAAATGTTTAGTATACAAGAGTTTTATATTTTCTCTTCAATGTTAATATTTTAATAGATAAATGTATATTGCCACACATTGAGTGTATATGGAAACAGGGAACAGTATGACTAAACAATATTTTACAGTGTTAGCTGTCATATATTAAAAAAGGACCAATCCAGAGACATTCTATTGAAACCCAGGGAGTTACTCTGGACTGTACACTTACTTATGTGAGAGCAGAACTTGACTCGGTATGTATTGAATCCTTATTATTAATCAGTATTTGATTCCAAAATAAAAGCATATAAAACTGTAGGTACCCAAGAACAAATTAAGACATGATCAAACTAGGCCGTATATTCCAAAGTACCAGTAATACCAGCTACACCTGGATTCTGTTGCCTAGCAACTCTTTCCTCTCTGCCCCTGCATCCTCTTCCTCAAAAAAATAAAATAATAAAAAAAAATCCTCTACAGGACACCTCATAGCCAGCAGGTAATGAAGGCAAGGGAAGGCATTGCCTATCCAAACAGATATGGGTGGCTTCTTCCAGTCTCTGCCCCTCTCATCTGCATAGAACAGAGTGCTCTAGGCCTGGTGCTTCCTGGCTCCCTGGGACCAGTAAGGGTGGGGGTGTGAAGTAAGGGCCAGCAGCTACTATGCCTGGCAACATACCAATCCAGGGTTGGGGGTACACCAGCTTTGGGCAGAGGCCAGCCAGCAGCCTATGGAGGAAGCTGGGAATTTTGCTCAGGGGCCAGTGGCTACAATGGGCATTGGGTGGTCACTGGTGGGCATAGAATGGGTGGGATCAGGGGGTTTGCCTCTCCAAGCCATCTTTTCATCTTTCCCATAGGACACACCTATAGGTTTCTACCTCATTTTCTGCACATGAACTCTTCTTGTCCCAACCATGAATTCAACTCTCCTCAATCCATTATACCTTTCTGTCACTAGAGAGAAGCTTCATGACCTGTGTTTGTGCCCCAGAAGAAGGCTATATTTCATTCAAACTGTAATCACAGATATTTAGAATTCAGATAAGTTTTAAATTTACTCTATCAAGTAGGAATGTAAGAGTTTAACCATTTAAACAGTTAACTGATACACATCAGCTTATCAGTTTCCATTATGGTTGGCTCCAGCTGCAAGCCTGCTCCAAGAGAGTCAGCTGCTACCCCACACCGCAGGCTCTGATAAACCGGCTTTCCGTGTGCACCAGCTCCTGGCTGCCAGGCCTGCTCCCAGAGAGCCAGCTGTGCTATATTACAAAGCTCACAGCACATGTAATTGCTAGGATTTTTAATGGTTACATTCCTACTATCAAGCTTGTGAAGGGTGAAAACCCCCAGAAAGATATGGAGTGCAGCAGGAAGACAAAATGACATTAGAAACAAGGACAGGAGGCTGAGAAAGGAAAAGACAAAGAACAGGGAGAGATGATTTGTATTTCAATATATAAAATAAAATAATAGACATAATGTTCAGAAATTATCCACAGGTTCCTTCTGGGGCTCTCGCGCTATTAAAGGGTCATTTACTCAGTTTTAAATACTAACGACATTTTTATATCTAGGAGATTCCTCAGCATTAGTACAGTAAATAATAGAGATTTTAATTTGAAAAGAAAGGCAAAAGGTCTTCAGACAGCACTACATTATTCCAGTTTTATATCCAGGTAACTCCACAGATTTCAATGGAGTAACACTCCATTAAAGTTGATGTCACACTGTGATGATTTGGCTTAAAGTATTTTATTTTTAACTTTTCTCTTTCTCTCCCTTGGGAGGCCCCACTTTGGGGTTGCAGCCTGATATTGAAGGGATTAGGTTTCAGAGGAGGACAGCTCTGAAGGCATTTAGCAGTAGTCTGAGATAATCTGCCACCTGCTTCCCCTTCACTAGCAGGATGATTCAGACCCTAACAAAGCAAGGTTGCTGCTTGGAAGAATTTGCTGGGGCATTACAGGCACTACTGCTGAGAGACTGAGGAGCAGAAATGAAAGTAAGCTGGTTTGCCCTGGCAGTGCACTCCGGCAAGAAGCTAGCTGGTTAGGACATTCAGCTACAGTGGAAGGGGCAGCACATTCCCAGCCCAACTCCAGGCTTCCTGCAGGCTACCACTCTTAGCAGCAGGCAGTCAGACAGGTGAAAGGGGCTGGCTGGGGATGCCACCCCGCCTGGACTGCTCCCACCCTGATCCTCCCCCTCCATACTGGGGGGAGGCTGGCTCATACATACCAGGTCCTTGTCTTTTCCTGCCTCCTGCTTCCTTTGACTAGGGAGCAAGGAGAAAATGCACAGCCTGCTGCTTTCCTCCTCTGCCCCTGGGCTGCCAGGAATGAGAGGAACGCAGCAGGCTGTACACTTTCTGCTCTCTCCCTGATAGTCGGAGGAAGTAGGAAAACCAACAAGGACTTGTAATGTGTGGTTGTGGTCCCTCTGTCTCCCAAAATGGCACCTTTCTCCCACCTCTCTGCACTCACCCCTACACACACCAGCCCCTGAATCCTGTACCCCATATCTCCCTGCTCTGAGCCCCCCAATCCTACTCCCTGCCCTGAATCCCTAACCCCCATATCCTTCCTGCTCTGCCCCCCCATATAGACCTAGCCCCCTTCTCTGACTCCCCACATCCCAATCCTCTGCCCTGAGCCTTACCTCATTCACCCAAGTCTGACTCCTGCATCCCCTAATCCCCTGCCGAGCCCCTCATATTTCCCAACCCCCTGCCCTAAGCTCCTTCTTATACACCCCAACCCTTATTCCTACACCCTTATATCACCAGCCCCTGCCCTAACTCCAGCACTTGCTCCACAGCCCAATCCCCTGCCCTGGGCCCCTCATACATCCCTACCCTGACTCCTGCACATCTGTAGCCCCCCGGCACTAACTCCTGCAACCCTTACACACTGCAACCCTCTGACCTGAGCTCCCTGCACACAGTTGTATCGCAACTCCCCCAAGCCCGAAGGCCCGCTCTAAGAGGGAGCAGGTTGTGATGGGACAGTACCTGTAAGAAATTTACTTTCACCCCTCCTGAGGAGAGAACTGATTGGTAAAAAAATCTCTTCAAATGGACTCTCTTTAAGCCTATTCCCTTCTTTCTAACTCCCTACAGCTGGCTTCTTTGGTTGCCCCATCACATCCCTATTCCAACCATTATCCCACCTACCCCCCATGCAGGAGTGTTCCTCTCCTTTACAATTGTAGTGCTCAGTGGCACTGTGTGTGGGGGCACAAGAGGGAATACCATAGGCAGGAGCGGCAAGGGGCCAGCCAGCAGCAGGGGGATGGACTAGTAATGGGACCTGGCACCCACAGCAGGGGTCTGCTGCCCTTGCCCCCCCTCTCCCACCTTGTACTTATCAGCAGTGGCAGGGGAAGCAGAGCAACATGTCTCCAGATTGCTCTGCTTCCTTGGCCTCATTGCTTAGGGAGAGGCAGGACCGCCCCACACTCACTGGTGGGAAGTGGAGTGATGTGGCTGTGTGAGCAGAGCAAGCTGGGGCCATGTTGCTCCACTTCTCCCTCCACTGCGAATGGTGACCCCCTGCTGGTGGCACTGCCCCTGCCAGTCCTCCAAGCTGCACTGGGGGAAGAAGCAGGATGAGGGTGGAGCAGAGAGGGAAGATATGGAGCAGGGGTGGAGAGAGGCGGGGCCTGTGGCAGAAGGGGATTGTCCTGGCCCTTCCCTGAGTTGGGAGGGGGGGAGGTATTACGTGGCTGGGGCCCCCCCTGGGTTTCCCCTCACCAGTCACCCTGGCTGTGCTCTTAGCTTCCAGCTCATCTGTTTCCTATTCCTGGCTCCAATGCTATTTTTAGTCTTTCTTCCAATTCTTTCCTGTCTCCTCTTCATTCATTCATCTTGGGAATGGGGGACGGGTCACCAGCTATAACAATATATCCCCATCACCCCTCCTTTTCCTGCTTCCTTCAGTGGTTCCCTCACCTTGCCAGCATCTATGTCTTCCTCCTGGACTATAAGGCAGCAGGCAACCGATTCCCTCCAGCTGCACAACTGATTACCTTTTGGAGCTGGCAGCTCCTCTGAAAACAGACTCCAAGTCCTATATCATGGTGCTAGAGGCAGAAAGTGATGCTGCATAGGGCAGAAGAGAATTAAAAATAAAATAATTAAATATTTTATTCATCAAAGAAAACAATTATATTTCTAGTGTCCAGGATCTTCTTCTATTTGAAACCTATCTTTAGATAGCAGAGCCACATTTCAACAATTAATAATATGGCTATGACACCAACTGCAACCTTATGATATAGTGCATAGTTGGGGATACGTTATTCCTTACATTATTCATTTATGTAGCACTCTAGGTGGTTATGGTATATTAAATGAGTAAATATACAAATAAGAAAAGGTTCTTATCCAAAACAATGTAAAGGATACATTCTGCAATTCTTACCTAAACGAAACTTCAACTGAAGCATATTTCAGTAGGGAGCTTGCTTGAGTAAAAATTGCAACATAGGATCTTAAGAAGGTTAAAAAGAAACAGTAAAAGAAACACAATATAATGCCAAAAACACTTCATAACCATAAACGATAAATCCACTGAAATTATGATAGCTGAGTGGGAAACAGAGAATGATTTATTATCATTCTAATTTAAAAACTTTGTTAAACATTATCAATAAGGATAGGTAATAAAATAACACTTTTAAAGCCTGTTGAAAAGCAGTTTTCAGATACAGATGGATACAGCAAGACAAACATTTTTTAAGACTTTCAGGCAATTAAAATTTCATGGTAGAAAAGATATTCTGAGGCTGCATTCTTGGTGAATCAGGTACAGGCTCTC